ACACACACACAAACTCACTGGGAGTATAATGGTTCTGTTCTTCTGCAAGACCACACCTATGGTCGACAGATCAGTTCCGACACCCTTGCTGCTCTAATAATAATAATGATAATAATATAGGTCAGGCTTTAAATTTTGCTGTGGCACAGTGACTGGCAAGACTGTATAATAAGCTCGACTTCTTTCTTATAACCCAGTGCACGTTGCTCATTGATAGATTTCATTCACTTGATGACGTCGAGGCCGGCCAGGATTTTCCTTCATTGAGGGGCAGAAGTTGCTCAATGCTTTTGGCATGGCACAATTTGATCAATAAATCATCCAGAAACAACCGTGTTTGATTTTGGTCAAAGTGTGCCTAATTGGTTGCTTTTACCCTAACTACGAGGGTGGTTGACAAGCGCCACTGGCCTAGGTCCTACTTGTTTTCGCCCCCCCCCCTCCTGTTGTTTCGGTCCATCTGTCTTGCTTCTTCTATGTACTAATATGACCGTTACTGAGTCGATGTGCTTCTTTCTACTCTAATTCTATCTCTAATGCTGGGCGGTTGGCGGGTGCTGTGATGTGGTTTGCTTCTTCTTTCCTATCAAACATCTGTCGTCCTTATCTCCCCTTCTTCTTTTTAATGTTTGTTACTCTCTTGTAACACCTCTAATCTTCTGGCGCTCATATGACCTTATGCAGTTGCGAGCGCCGTAAAACCTCTACTAAAACTATCTAACTATCTGTAATGCTCCGACTGTTTTGAATGAATCAAACGTATCGAATGGGCAATTTGCACTGGGTATCAATTATTGGATTTGGAGCACCCCCGGCGCAGTTATCGCGATTTCTTCCACCACCTTGCCGAAAAGGCGGAGCGCCAGTAATTATGGAATTATATGGACGTATCAGTACCAGCATTTTTCTCGTACTGAGTTCACCTTTGACCTTCACAGTGGGGCCTGGCAGACCCTCAGCCATGATTTTTTTTTTAAGTTACAAGGGGTTAGAGTTGAGGTTACGTTTAGTGTCAGAGTTAGAGCTAGGATTTTAGTTTTATACGAATTCTTAAATGCCTTTTGTTTTACGAGCCCTTATAATATGCTCCCAAAATTTGGAGTTGTAAAACATGTCCTACCATTAAGTTGTGAAAAGTCTCCTAAGAAAAAACATTTCTTTCTTTTCTGGCTTTTTTTTTT